TCAAGGGTGACACTAAGTTTTTGGCCCCAGCAACTGGAATAATGAGGTTTGGAACAGGTTTGGGACAACATCAAAAGCTCATTTTCAGAAATCTTAGGGTGAGATGCCTGCCGGTCATACCGGCAGGGACATCAAGAAGGCGGTTCCCTATGTGTGTGGCATTCAGAGGAGAGATTCAGGCTGGAAATACAAATGTGGGAATGGTGACCAATACTGAATGTGTGTGCCAGAGGTTAGAGGATTTTGGTGAGGTGAGGGATGAGGGTGAGCAGAAGGAAGGAGGAAGGTGTCATTCTAAGTTTTTAGCTTGGACACTTGCTAGACACACCATTCTCTGTTAGGGAACACAGATGGTGTAGAGAAGACACTAGATTTTGCATGTATTGATTATAAGACATTTCTGGAGCTGGAACTGGAGATAATAGAGGAGATTACACAGTCTAATTCAGTCCTTTTACAGATGAGGAAACAGAGGTTCCAGCACAGCTAGCTTGAATTAGATTGCCCAGTGCTCTTTTTGCCATACTTGGCCACTTGTAATTATAGGATAGACTATGAGAGTAAAAGGCAAACTCTCTCTCATCCCGAGATTGTCCAGTCATCCCTACACCAATTAAAAAAAAAAAGAGGAAATGAAAGAGAAAAAGAAAAAAGAAACTTGCGTGGTCAGATTGGCTCTAAGGTCAAGTGGGAATTCCTATGTATTTTGGAGAAGGATGTGATGTCCAGTGTAGATCAAGACTATCCCAGTATTTTCAGGCTCAGCACTTTGATTTCAGGAAACTTTAGACTGTCATGATATTGGGTCAGTCCAGGCTAGACTTTTTTCAGGTAGAATACTTGGGCATCTGCATGTAGCATTTTGTTCCACCTTAAAATGATTCGTAGATGAAAGAGCTCCAATCAGAGATTATCATTGGCTACTTATGGAATATTGTTTGAATACCAAGGAAAGCTTGGGTAAAAGGAAGCAGAGGGTGTTTAGGGTGATGGTTTGACTTTCCAAGAATTCCACTGAGGCTATAGGATAGTGAGGTCAGCAAACGTGCGTTCAAATCCTCATCTTGACCTCTGAGTAGCTGTGTGATTTTGGGTTAAATATGTTGCATCTCTTTGGGCTACCCCATCTATAAAACGGGAAGAATGATGTCTCCCACACAGAATTCTTCAAGGGAGTAAATCTATCACCCAGCCTGGGAGAGGAAACTCCTAATAATTGCTCCCCTTCCCCACAGCAAAATCCTTATTAGCTATTTATGCACTAGTCAAGTTGGTGTTGACAACGTAAGGGTCACTTTGAACCCTTTTTCCTTGACCTGATTCCTCACTCTTTCTAATCCTCATTTCCATTATAAAGAATAGATTTCCGGCAAGTGAGAACAGTGGCATGGGGAAAGGGGTGGGGAAGAGTGTTTCTGAAGGCAAGCATGGGAATATTCTCAAAGGGAACAGGAAAGGCCAGTGAGTCCTAGTCATCCCGTAGCAGGACCCACAGGGTGAGAGCAAGGGCTCAGAAAGACTTTATGGTGTGTCCAGGGAGAGCTGGTTCCTTGCCACTGGTCAGAATTTCCCTACCCCACAAAAGAGAGGGCCGTCTGTCATCAAGGTCTTAGGTTAGGACCACAGAATACCATGACAGGTGACAATTAGAGAAATCTTTCCCGTTTACCCCAAGGCAACAGAAGCCTCTTTGATTTTGGTGTGACTCTCAGAAGCAGCCCTATTATTGATGGCTGAGATGAATTTTCCCACTAAATTGTACAGAAGTGGGTTCAGAGTTAGAATTCATTCACTCAAATAACAGTTAAGTTTTAAGACCTTTAAATATCTGAAATTTAAAAAAATATTTTTTTTTCAGACCTTCAAGTCAACAGCAGTAATTGCCTGATGTTAGTGAATCAGAGCAAACTTTTTTTTTAAAGGCAGAGGATAAAAGCCCAGAACCTCTACAGTATTCATTAACCTCTCAGCAGACCTGGGGCTGCAGCCTCTAAGGTGGTTCTGGGTTCCCTCACTCTCTCTCTCAAAATAAATAAATAAAATCTTAAAAAAAAGAAATCCAACAAACCTGCTTATTTTCTTCAATTTATAGGTCAGATCTTATATTCTCTATCTCACTGAGCATCCCTCACATCCAAGAAATTTCTGAGTATTAAAAAAAAAAAAGATCTTTGATTACATAATCCATTTTCCTGGAATTTAAAAAGGTTAAGCCAAGTTCTGTTCAAGATGAAAAGACGGAGACAAAAAGTTTAAGTGTGATCTGTTTATTGTTGCCACTATGGGTACATTCTCCTAATTCTCTGCCTCAAATCCCAATGATGCTTTTATATATGTGCAACACATGTCAATCTCTAGTTTCCTTGAGCTGAAATGTTTGGCTTTGAAATGTGAGGCATCTTTCAGGAAACAGAGTGGTAATGTGTAAGCTGAAATGTTTCAGTGATATTTCTAAAGATTTTTTTTTTTTTTTAATTTATTTGACAGAGACACAGTGAGAAAGGGAACACAAGCAGGGGGAGAGGGAGAAGCAGGCTTCCCGCGGAGCAGGGAGCCCGATGTGGGGCTCGATCCCAGGACTCTGGGATCAGGACCCGAGCCGAAGGCAAGATGCTTAACGGCTGAGCCACCCAGGTGCCCCTCAGTGATATTTCTTACATCACATGAAACTCATTGTGAAATGCCACTAGATTCAGTCCTTCATTGGATTTAGAGAGCCTGAAGCTTTTGTTTTTATGGAGATTAGAAAAGGAAACGTGAATTCTATAAATTTAAGTGAAATTAGAAATAAAAATATATCTTACACAGTTATAGTACAAATTTTGCAAAGACTTCACAAGCCACAAAATCTTAGAAATTATTATAAAATTATTTTTGTTCCTTTTCTCCATTTTCTATAAGGTCAATTCCTAAATTAGTCCCCTCTTTGTATTATATGAAATTGGCTTTCAGATAAAGGACAAGTGATAATAAATAAGGACTGCCAGGGCCTCAAAAGATGACACTGAAGAAAAAAAAGATAATTAGGAAAAGCAGAAGTCTAAACATTAACGTTCTGATTAATATTGGATGAAATCAACTTAACCCTGGTAAACCAGTCCTATTTATTTATAGCTAATGAAGAAGAATTTAAGTTATGCTACTTAAATATAACGATGTTTTGGAAAGCAGGTATTTTTGAAGATATGTATTCACAGCAACTAAATGTAGACTGTAGTCTATGTAGGACTTATTGTTCTTTAGTTTTATATCCAATAACTGCATCAAAGCTAATATTGATCTTTCGTTTTAAAAATGCCAGGAAACGCTCAGGAAAGATCCTAAAAAAAAAAAAAAGACACATGAAAATAATTAGGAAATTAATATTAAGTGTATTTGTAAATTATCTTCTTTTAAAATACTTATATTTATCATGTATCATCTTTTTTTGCATGAGGAAAAGAACTTTTTAATTTCTATTCTACGTGTGAGGCAGCTATACATAATGTATAAATCAAATACTGGAATACAACCACATCCAAAAAAAGGAAAGAACAGGCACATACAAGATGGAAACTATTTTGTTGGACTTAACTTCCTTTCTCTTTCTTTTTTCTTTCTTTCTTTCTTTCTCTCTTTCCTTTAAGGGTAAGGAAGTTTTCTGGATATTTCTTAAAAAACCAGACTTCAGCCTTATTGCCCTAGTCCCCACTTAACAATAGGTATTTGTAAAGTCTCCCCATTATAATGCTGTTTTCTCATCCACAGCTGGCTATGGAAATGCCTGTAGGATGGACCTTTCCATCCTACGGTCTATGGAGAGCCTCGGATGAGTATGTGCTATAAGCCTTGTCTAAAAACCGAAGGCATGGGAACCTGGGTGGCTTAGTCGTTGGGCGTCTGCCTTCGGCCCAGGTCGTGATCCCAGAGTCCTGGTATGGAGCCCCGCATCGGGCTCTCTGCTCAGCGGGGAGTCTGCTTCTCCCTCTCCCTCTGCCTGCCGCTCCCCCTGCTTGTGCTCTCTCTCTCTCTCTGTCAAAAATAAATAAAACTTAAAAAAAAATAAAATAAATAAAATAAATAAAAACCGAAGGCATGATGTGTCTCTTACTTCCCTGCACTATTTCCTAATGGATGTAAGTGCTGCTGTGACAGCTAACATAAAAAAAATTCATAGCAACTTCTTGGCATCAGTAGTTTCTCAATCAATAGAGATAACACATATCTCTAATCTGTGGTTTGGGTGTATCCCTTATCAGGAATCATCTTAAACAAAATTAGTCTTAAAATTAGGAGCTTTAACTCTGAGTCACTACTCTATGTTCTTTCCAATTAAATCGATTTTGTTTTCAAAAGGAAAAGGAAGGAGGCTTCGCCTCCTTTAGGGTAGGAGTGACTTGAAATATTTGGTTTTCGGGGCGCCTGGGTGGCTCATTCGGTTAAGCGTCTGCCTTCGGCTCAGGTCACGATCCCAGGGTCCTGGGATCGAGCCCCGCGTCGGGCTCCTTGCTGAGTGGGGAGCCTGCCTCTCCCTCTCCCACTCCCCCTGCTTGTGTTCCCTCTCTCTCTGTGTCTCTCTCTGTCAAATAAATAAATAAAATCTTTAAAAAAAAAAGTAATATTTAGTTTTCGAAATATATATATGCCTATGTTTCTCCGAAGATCTAAGAGAGGAGGTGTCTAGAACTGAAGAGTTGACAGGCTAAAGGCTTTTAAAACAAGAAACATGGGGCACCTGGGTGGCTCAGTTGTTAAGCATCTACCTTTTTTTACTTTTTAAGATTTTATTTATTTATTTGACGGGCAGAGACACAGCGAGAGAAGGAACACAAGCAGGGGGAGTGGGAGAGGGAGAAGAAGGCTTCCCGCGGAGCAGGGAGCCTGATGCGGGGGCTGGATCCCAGGACCCTGGAATTGAGCCCCACATCAGGCTCCCTGCTCCACTCCCCCTGCTTGTGTTCCCTCTCTCGCTGTGTCTCTCTCTGTCAAATAAATAAATACAAATCTTAAGAAAATAAAATAAAATAAGAAACATGACATTGGAAAGGAAGTGAGAATAGGAACCAATTCTATACATGATAATCCAAAATATTATTAAAAATGTTCCACTGAGAGACTGAGGAGACAGAGCTGCTAAATGAAAACGTAGATTAAAGCACTTGGTTTTCAGCATAATGCTGAACAAGTTATTTAACTTTTGAGTTTAAACTCCTCATGTGAAATTGGAAAAATCAACACCTACTCCACAGCGCTCTTGGGAAGAATCCATGTGTTATTTTTTTTGTACATGACGGACATGTAGTAGGTCTAACATTTTTTTTCTCCCCACCCTAAATGGGCAAACCTCAGATACTGCAGGTTTTGTGCCAAACTACTGCAATAAAGAGAATATCACAATAAAGTGGGTCAAATGAATGTTTTGGTTTCCCAGTGCATATAAAAATTATGTTTACACTATAGTGTAGTCTATTAAGTGTGCAATAGCATTATGTCTAAAAAAATTTTATAGACCTTAATTAGAAAATACTTTATTGCTAAAAACATGCTAACCATCACCTGAGCTTTCAGTGAGTTGTAATCACTGATCACAGATCACCGTAACAAATATAATCGTGAAAAAGTGTGAAATAGTGTAAGAGTTAACAAAATGTGACAGAGACATGAGGTGAGAAAATGGTATTGGAAAAATGACACCAGTAGAGTTGCTTGATAAGGGTTATCACAAACCTTCAGTTTGTAAAAAACCCAGTATCTGAGAGTACGGTGAGATGGAGGGCAATAGAATGAGGTATGCCTGTCCTTAAGAATATTGAGGAATTTGTCACATTCCAATGAGACTGAGAGAATCTAAACAGAATATCTAAGTCAGGGTAACCATAGTTGACCCTTGCACAACATGCACAACATACATATATCTTTTGACCCTCCAAAAACTTAACTACTAAAAGCCTGCTGTTGACTGGAAGCCTAACTGATAGCTTAAATAGTCAATTAACACGTGTTTTATATGTTATATGTATTATATATTATATTCTTATAATAAAGTAAACTAGAGAAAAGAAAATGTTACTAAGAAAATCATAAGGAAGAGAAAATACATTTAAAGGACTGTACTGTATATAAACAAAAATCCACTTCTAAGTGGACCCCTGCAGTTCAAAGCCATGCTGTTGACCCATGCAGGGTCAACTGCATATACAGACATCTGACCAGATGGCATTAAAATAAGGCTTGGCAATTGAGCACCAAAAATTCACAGTCAGAAAAACCAGGGCAATGCTAATAATAGCGTTAATTATAATAATAATAGCTGTATATAACATTTATTGAGTATTTACAGTATACCCAATACTTTAAATGCATCATTTTATTTATTCCCCACAGTCCTATAATGTCTTATTGTCTCCATGTGACAGATGAAGACACTGAGCTTCCAAGAAGTTAAACAACTCATCTTATATTCATGTGGTAAGCAAGTCACAAACACAGTTTCATCTAACTCCAAAGCACAAACTTTGAGTCTCTCTGCTAAAGGTCTAGGAAATAGAATTAATTTATTAAATCAACACACATTTTGGTGCCCCCCTCCATGTGTCTATCAAGTCTTAGGAGTACAAGCATTACATACAGTGATGAAAACAGGCGAACTTCCTTCCCTTATGGACTTACATTCTAAGGGACTGTAGTCAGAGTGCTTACTTATGAAATGTAACAAGAAGAATGCTAAACACTTCACATGTTTTAACTTGGTTATTCACCCAGGAAATCCTTGAGTTTTACTACCTAAACTAAGGTATGTTCAACCATAGTTCCTTGGAGAATGGGCTAAAAAGGGGCTAAAGAGCCTAACATGCTTTTGATCTTTTGAAGTTTTTTCAGTTCCTAGGTCAGTAATTCTCCAAGTGTGATCTTGAACCAACTGCCTGTGGCAACTGCCTGTTAAAATACAGATGTCTGGGTCCCAACCAAAATATCCTATATTAAAACCTCTAGAGGTGAGCTTTAAGAATCTATTTTTAAAAATTATCTTCCCAAGTGATCCTGATACCCTACCACGTAGGGACAGAGAACAAGAGGCTGGCTGGCTTCCTTCCTCCCTCCCTCCCTTCCTTCCTTCTTTCCTTCCTCCCTCCCTCCCTTCCTTCCTTCCTTTCCTCCTCCCTCCCTCCGGCCCTCCCTCCCTTCATTCCTTCCCTCCCTACCTCTTTTAACCTAAGCCACCTCTTCACATTCCCCTCATGACCTGGACCAGCCTCACTGCCACACAGTGTTCTCATATGAATAATGAGGCAATGTGCTATAAGGAAGGTGGTTAAGCCAGTGGTTTCCAATCTTGGCTGTACATCAGAATCACTTGGAAACTTGCACCTCTCAGAGACTAGCCCACACCTCAGGCCAATTACAAGGGTCTTGAGGAGTAGGTCTCAGGAGTTAGTATTTTGAAAACTCCCAAGTGAATTCCAATGTAAACAAAGCTGACACTTACTAAAGAAATGCTTCTCAAATTTGAATATGCATTCAAATCACCTGTGGATCCTACAAGAATGCAAAATTCTGATTCAGGACATCAAGAGATTCTGTTTTCCTAACAAACTCCCAGGTGATGCTGATACCACTGGTCCCTGCAAGTAGCAAGGCTCAAGGATCTCTAAAATCATAGAAGATTATTTAACAATTCCGATGCTTCAGTATGATGTTGCACAAAATAAGAGCTTGATGATTATCTTTGTATATTCAGATCAATATCTAACACCTAACGATAGTCTCCTCCAATATTATTGTTCTATGATTCCATTATGTAGTGATGCTTAAAAACTATCCTTCTTTATAGTCATTCATCCATGAGACAAGGCTTTCAGAAATATACACTTCTCCTTCTCTAAAAAGAAAACTTAAAAACTTGTGGAGTTTCTTCAGTTCAGTAAATGATTGCTATACAAACGCTGCTTCAAGGACTAACAAATGTGGTATTAAAAACTGATGGATTATTGAAGCCTATCGTTTTTGTACCTTAATTCCATTCAGTTGTACTTTATCAGATGTCTGGTTTGAAATCTGAGTAAAAACATGTAATACATAAATCTTTATTTATAATGCTAATAAACGTAAATATCACTTACTTTTCCACCAGTGTTAAAAGGCTTACAGAAGATGGAATAAAAATCATTTTCTGGTCAGTCAGGATCCCTTTCATCAGCTTGTCTACCACTTCCTCAGGTTCCAGGGTGGGTCCCAAACTGAAATCAGAAGCAGTCTTTAGCAACAAAACGTTTCACGGAAGCTTCCACTTTGGTTAGGTGCTAAACGAAGAAGTTAAATTACCATAGGAATCATAACATAACGGACTTGTAGCATCTGGCCCATTATAAGTGCCCCCAAATAGTAGCTGCTTCAGCATGAATAATAACAACCACTTATTTAGTGCTTATCACATACTGTGCACTGTGCTAAACACGCTCCATAGGCCATCTCACTGAAGTTTTGCAACAGCCTGTGACGGAGAGACTACAGTCCCTATTTTGCCAATGAGAATTATAGATGTAGCCAGAACTAAAAAATAATTGAGCTGGATTCGGACTGACAAATTCACTTTTAAATCTTTAGAAGTCTTGGCGCGCCTGGGTGGCTCAGTCAATTGGGCATCTGCATTCAGCTCAAGTCATGGTCCCAGAGTCCTGGGATGGAACCCCACATTGGCGGGTTCCCTGCTCACCGGGGAGTCTGCTTCTCCCTCTCCCTCTGCCCCTCCTCGCACTTGTGCTCTCTCTTAAATAAATAAATAAATAAATAAAATCTTAAAAACAATCTTTAGAAGTCTTGGGGAAAAAGTCAAATACCATGATACAAATTTTATTATATACTAAGTCTCTTCAGTGAACGATTTCTAAAGTGTCAGAGAAAATTAAAATATAAAAATGTGCCTGCTCCTAGTACCGAAAATCTATAAAGAACTTATCAAACTCAAAACCCAAAGAACAAATAATCCAATCAACAAATGGGCAGAAGACATGAACAGATGTTTCTCCCAAGAAGACAACCAAATGGCCAACAGACACATGAAAAAATGCTCAATACCACTTGGCATCAGGGAAATAGAAATCAAAACCTCAATGAGGTACCACCTCACACCAGTTCAGAATGGTTAAAATTAACAAGTCAGGAAATGACAGATGTTGGTGAAGAGGTGGAGAAAGGGGAACCCTCCTACACTG